TCATCTATCTTTTCAAAAGTTTCGTTCGTTAAGGATTCAATGATCGACGACGGCGCATCGTCGCGCAGGGATCAAAGGGACCGAAGGGAGGAAGTCCAGCGGGGAAGCGCGGCCGCTGTCTTCCGTTTCTTGATGGAGTAATGTGCGTTTGTTATGTTTCAATTGCCGTTTTGCCACCCACGTGCCGATTCTCCTCGGGCTCGCGCAAGTTCGTCGGAGCGTCCATTTGCTCGGCCGTTCGCCGATCCATCTCATGTCGCATGTTTAAAGAGCATGCCTCCTTCATAGACATATTCCTTTTGCATTAATCACGACATGGAGAAATGGATTAATCGATCCAGACAGCTTATCGTAAATCTTGTATTCGTTTCTTGATTATTTACGTGACTCAAATTGAAATTTAGAATCTACGCGGAAAGAACATTATAGTTTTTTCTTTCTCATATAAATTCTTTTCAATTTTGCTATGTTCATGCCAATAATAGTACAGTAACAGATTGTCAATAAGGTCTACCTTGCTAAGAAATACAGAAAATTTGATTAGAATTTTACCATGTTTCGCTGGAAACATAACAAATGTTTTTAATAGCATATTTCAATCCCTAAAATATAAATAGTACATATGAATTTAAAAAACAGACAATCATAGTGCAGAATGTCAATCTATTCCTCTGTTACAAAATTCTACGTTTTACTATAAAATTCTCTCCGTACTGTAAATTATATATCGATTCTGACTCTAATAACAGTTCTTGGGTGCCGAAAGTTCCGCCTTCTTATATCATTTCTGTTTAGTCTTATTGTTGCACAGAATTCAAATTCTATTTTTAACACGCTATTTCTATCTCTGTCTTCGCAACAAATTCGACGGAATTTGCAGAATTTATCGTCAATGCAAAATTTCAACTAGGAAGGAACGTCCGATTATCCGTTCGATCTTCTACGAGCGCCACGAAAGAGGCCGGATGTTGTTGTCCTAGATGAGACGTATCGCGATAATAAGACCGCGCGATTTCGCAAGCCGCTGCAAACGATGAAACGGAAATAAGCGCGCGCGCGAAGAGTGCGCGAGGAGTGCGCAGAATAGCGCTTGCGTCGGAAAGATCATCGGCGGTCGCGCGCGATCGTAAACGACGCGAATTTCCAAAGCCGCTCGCCGGCTTCGCAACATAATCATCACCGGTAACGGAGCGATCGCAAATTATAGCCGATGCGGTAAGTTAATATCCGCGATGTTGCACCAAGAAAAACGATAATCCCCTCCCTCTCCCGTGCCTTCCTCCCTGCCGCCCCCATCTGAAGACGCGCATGATGGAGGGCGTAGCACGTGTTCGATTCTCTCCATCGATCGTGAGCGAAAAGCGCATCGGCGGGGGGAGGAGAGGATGATGCCCGACCGAGGGCTCCGTTGCGTAACTCTCAAGAAATAAATTGCACGAATCGATTGCGCCGACCTCGATTAACCCTTTAAGTACGAGCGAGTCACATCCAAATCTCTCGTGCGCGCTCGCCAAAGTCATTTTTCACGAAATTCCGCGGCGGCTTCCTAACGGAACGCTCTCCCGACAATATGATGGATGTTGCATCGCGTTACATTAGATGCGCTCTGTTAGACGCAGCGACGCGTCGGGAGCTTCGAGTTATTGTATAACGGCGAAGCACCGCGTCTGTCGATTTTTCGCACGGAAGAATTTCGATTTCCAAGGCCTCGATTCTTCTCTTCTCTTCAGATCTTTAAGTTCAAGTCGCGATGAGCACTCGATGGCGGATGAACCGGTCTGTTCAAACGTGTCGTCATCGGAAACGCGAGAATTGGATTGGGAAGTGACACGTTACTTGTAACGCTATCACCATTACTTACTTTTTTCAGTAACGACTTCATAAGCGTTTTTCTTTCTATCCTTTCTATTAGTAACAATCACGATAATACCATTATATTTTTTTACTATCAGTAACGAACAGTCGTTATTATCACCGTTACTTTGTAAAAAAAGAAAAACGCAAAAAAAGAACTAGCTTCCAAAGTTAAAAAATAGCTATAGCAGATAAGATGTGTCACTGAAATAACAACAGCTAATGTCGATACTACCAAAGCTAAATTTATTCACTGTTAAACTTAGGCGCTACAGCGAGAAATATTAGCTCCTAGAAATAAAGAACTGTAACAAATGATTGTAGCTGTACGGCAAACTTCTTTAATATACATACGATAAGAAATTTAGGAATAACTGCCATTTTCTTAGCTACTAGAAATAATGTGCAATTTTAATGTCACCTAATATATTTGTATTTCATAGCGAATGCATCTTAGCTGTCATAGCCAATTCTTAAGTAACAGCTAAACGATTAGCCTTTTGACTAAGTTTGAGTCAGCTACCGCGGTTTAGCTGATATTACTAAATCATTTTTTTACGTGTAATTTTTTTACGTGTAATTTTTTTATGTGGATATAGAATATATCCACATATAATATGATAATGAATCACTTTGAAAAAGTAATTTTTCCAATTCCGCGAAAGAATGTGATCCGACCGAGTGGACGGAGTAACTCGAATAACGGACTAATACACAAGGAACGCAATTTTCATCGCGGCGCCCTCAATTAAGGCCCTCGGTGGCTATAAGCGCGCTGTGAATCATGCGAGAATCAGAATGCCAAATCGAGCGATTGTCGTAGCTCGTTTAGAGTCCACCGAGACTCTTAGCCTGGCTTAATTAACGGGGTCGATGGAAGAGAACCAACACCAGTGGCAAGTGCTGGAACGCTAATAATTCCTGCAGTCACTTGTCGTCGAGATGGTCGCGACGTAGAAAACGGTCTTTTAAAGAAAAAAAGGAATTTACATAAAAAAAAGAACTATATTTTTCCCGTGTAGAATACACAATCTTATCGTCTATAGGGAGAAATTTTTCATAAAAATCTAAGAGAATCTAATCGATATCACGTCCGTTCACGCTTCTTCTCAGGACGTAACCTTGCTTAGGGTGAAGTTAACCCTTCTGGTCTCACTTTTCTTATGAGCAATTTCAAATATGTATACGTCGCATTAAAGAAAATTAAAAATACGAAATGCGAAAACCTAAACTCGAAATAAATTTTCGAGTTTACTGTGAGACATATACAACTCAACGATATCGAAAGAATTGACACGTTCGCTAGCAGAGTCACGCGTGTATTATCCACCGATTCCTCACGAAAGCCTGACAATAATTTTCCATTTTATGTCTACATAAACAAATATGATGTATGTTACGTTACATAAAAAAATACGGTATGCGACAGACGATTTTCCGGACGAGCAGTGATGGCAAACGCATCGGGAATGAATCTTTCTCTGGAACGCTCGTGACGTCGGGAGCGCGGCGCGTTCTCTACAAAGTTCTTCCCCTCGGGCTCTCTATTGGTATCCCCGATGCTCGCGAAAAACGCGGACGCCATCGCGATGCTGCAACGACGCGACGAGGCAGGCATGAGCGGCTCACTTGCTCGCTCGCTTACATACGCAAAGGAGGCCCGCTTTTAATGCGTGCGTGTCGGTGCGTAAGTGAGAGGCGGAGCCGTGCCTTGGCGGAGGTCATAGGGCAATACCAATCACAGCCCCGTGATAACCACTCCTGCCATGCGTCTCGTGGATGCGTGCGTGAGTGCGTGTTCGCTTGCATACACGTGTGTACGTGTTGCCGCGAAGCGCGAGCGTGCGTCATAGTTGCAAAATTAATTATTTCTCGCGCTGCTCGTTGCCGACGGGCGTATCCCGTCGGACTTTGCGATTTCCAAGGAGGAAGAGAAAGATAGGCGCATAATAGTATAATCGGGTTCACCGTGCCGATTTGCCGAAGAAGGTGGAGATTTTTCAAAAGAAAACGAGAACGTCCATTCCGGCTACGCGAAATCCGTCGGAAGTCCGAAGCTTGAACTCCGAGTCGCTGAATCGCTGATTTCGCACGATCGAATGACGCTGGACGATAAGAACCGGAAGTCTGGTCTGCTCTATCGTTTATTTAGCACTGCATATAGCGCTTAAATATGAAGATTGACTGTCGTCGATTTTATTCGCCCGGCGCGAAAAATTTGTTGATAGTGTCACGAAACTAATAACCAGACCAGTATTTAACACGTACTTGAATGTTTGTAGTAGTAGTATTTATCCGTATAGACCGGCATAATAATCTTAACACAAAAAATTATACGGTTTTAAATCATAAAAATATTCTAAACAGTGTAACTTCATGTTTTACCACATGTTCTTACACTCATTATGTAAACGCATTTATAATATATAGTCACCATAATATCAATTTGCAGAAAAAAGACAATAATCTGTTTAAAACATCCTCGTGTATGTGCTTGGCATACATAGATACATTTAGATGGACTAAACAAAAATTACATTATAACAGTGACCAAGAATCTAATCTATAGTCAAAGTAGCTAACAGAGTAGTAACAAGAGACTTTTCTGTTATCATAAGCAATCATCGTTGCAAGCCATATTAACGTATGAAAGTGCTGCGCGCTCTCTAGAAATAAGCCTTAAAAAATTGATTCATAATTGACAAGTGAGATTATAAGTATATAGGAAAAAAATTTCAATCACAAAAACTCTTCTACTATTATAATAATAATTGCAATAATTGTAATAATTATTATTATAATAAGCAATAATAAAAATGATTATAAGCAAAAATAATAATTATTATAAGCAAATCGCGTTTTAACGTAGAGTTACCTGTTCGCGAAAAAGATCCAAAAGCCCAACGTGAGTGTGACAAGTAAAATTACAAGAAGAAATTATAGGAAGAAAAATTTCAACGACATAGACCTCTTTTACTATCATAATAAGCAGTTGCTGTGCGATTTTCGAATTTTGTGAAAAATAATGCAAGATATGATGTTTCTTATTATAGGTTTGTGTATATGTGTGTGACTAAAGTGCGGATTTTTACAATCAACCGAATGATATGGATTGAAGCAATTGATGCAATGTTTCTACTTCTTCATTAACTCAAAACACTGAAGCGCGGTTTTATTTAAAAATTCCGAGCAACTATTTAAAGAATGATTTGTATTACACAAAGAACACTTATATGACATAGCAGACACGCAATAAGAACGCAATATGGAAGGCATCATTTCGATAGATAAATAACCTAAGGTATTAAATATATGTATCTCAAACGATCTTTTCAGAGTACCTAGTGGCCTACATTATCATGATACTAAAACCAGAGAAGCCTGTAGACGACTCATAAGCATAATATACAGAAATAAGTTTATTACTAACAGCTTCGAAAATATTTGAGACCTTAATGAAACAACTGTTACCTATAATTGAAAATAAGGAACTGATACCTAAACATTAATTTGGTTTCCGCCAGAAATATGCGACAATAGGCAAAGTGCAAATAGATTAGGTAGCAAAATAAATAAAGATGCTAAAAGATGATGTTCTGTAGCATTTCTCGACATCTCTCAGGTCTTTGACAGAATCTGGCATAATGGTCTTCTATATAAAATTAAGATAAGCCTACCACAAAATTTCTACAACATCCTCAAATCATATAAGAGCCAATAAGGCTTTTTGTTTGATTAAGGAGAATCGATGAAATATAATTTAGCTAATAAAGAGTCCTTATTCTTCAAGATAGATCTATAAATTAGAATATAGAATGTTTCTAGTAAAGCACGAGGAAGTAGTTACAACACTATATGAAATACATTCTGGAGTCTCATGTACTTGGTCCAATACTCTACCTATTGTATATAGCTTACCAACAACTCCTGACATTCTAACTGTGATGCCATAGCGAATGATACTGCTGTTCTAGATTTTCATGATGATCTTATTATAGCATTCCATCTCTTAGAAAAAGAAATCTCATAAACATATAGAAATGGCTGAAAATATAGTACATTAGTACATAGAGTTAATAAAACAAAATCACGCTAATAAGACAAAATTCACGCTAATAAGACAAAATTTCCACTATTAGAAAAGAAATTAAGAACTACAGTCAAAGATATCATTTGGAAATCCATTCGAATACTCTTGCAGCCAATCTTATGACAAAACTGTTTCACAGACTGAAAAGAAAAATATTGCAAAATCTCCTAATATAAAAGAGAAAACAAAGTAGTAAAACATTGGATTTCTATTATTAAATGTCCCTAATTTAAGACAGATTGAAAAGAGAATTAGAAATAAAAACGATAATTTTGGAGACCTCATTATAAATTCTATCTCTATAGTCGCTTTGGGAATAATATAAACAATACGATAATCTGATATAATATATATATAATTGTAATAAAAATATAAAAATCATGATAATATAATCTAGTTTTGTGGTTTCCTTGGAAACAATGTAAAAATTTTCCCTGATAAAATATAATACAACATTTACAAGACAAAACACATGAAGTTATAGATATCACAGAAAGTGCTATACTACTATATTTTAGTCAAGACATGTCAAATACCTATGCCTATTTCACGGCTCTCTGTAAAATGTTTCCATTCAGATGCAGACCCTTGTATCCGCATTCATAGATCTACCTTAAAGAATAAGGACTCTTTATTAGCTAAACTGTATTTCATTGATTCTCCTTGATTAAACAAAGAGCCTTATTGGCAGCCTTATCTCCAGTATTTTCAAGGGAAGTTGCGAGCTTTCTTGAGGTAGTGACTCCAAACTTATTAGCAGATGCGGTAACATAACCTACAAAAATATCAGTTTTGTGCATGTGTGGAATACTGTTACTAATTACTCCATTATATTATATAATTAAAATAGATAACGAATTGCTAAATGACTCAAACTATAAATTTGGAAGTGAAAATGTAGAAAATGATCTTCAATGGTGATTATACTAAAAAGACACTCGTGACAGGGAAGATCCTATTGAGTTTTACGAAGATAAACTTTTTAGAAAATTATATAGATTCAATAAAGAATATATGATTGATATTCAATTACCGGTGATAAATGAAAGGCTACAGCGAGATAATGGCAGATTGCCGATTTCTTCTTTAACGCATTTCTCAATGTGTTTTCTATTCGTTAACCGCTGGTAACTATTGTCTGCTTATTAAAGCTGCGTTCCGAAATGCACTGCCAGTACTAAAAATCTATAGTTTATGTTACGTATATTATAGAATTTCAGTATTAGCAGTGAATTTCGGAACGCAGCCTAAAAGGCCATTTACAATAGAGCATCGTACGCCGTAGCAGTAAGAAATTGACTAATCACAATCGATTATTCTTGTAAAACTTCAGTATGATTGGTCAATTTCTTATTGCTACGGCGTACGATTTTCCATTGTAGATGGCCTAAAGGGACGTCTACATTGGAAGTAAGTAGTAAGAAGTAGGAAGTAAGAGTAAGAAATTGACCAACCACAGTCGAATGTGAGAAGAATAATCAACTATGATTGGTCAATTTCTTATTCTTACTTCCTACTTCTTACTACTTACTTCCAATGTAGACGTCCCTTTAGGCCATCTACAATGGAAAATCGTACGCCGTAGCAATAAGAAATTGACCAATCATAGTTGATTATTCTTCTCACATTCGACTGTGGTTGGTCAATTTCTTACTCTTACTTCCTACTTCTTACTTCCAATGTAGACATCCCTTAACTCAACTAGAGGTTCTCTCTCTCTCTCTCTCTCTCTCTCTCTCTCTCTCTCTCTCTCTCTCTCTCTCTCTCTCTCCAGATGGTATACAGGGTCCCTATTCTTGAAATAGTTGCGTATACGTAAGTTTTACTGCGCAGGTTTAGGGTGCGTTCCGTTTCCACGCATAATGCGCATGAAGCACAGCGTTAGAGTGACAGAAATACGAAAGTAAGATAAAATGAGAGGGAGGTTCTCGAACCTAGGTTAGGTTAATTCTCGAACGCATGAACTGCATCAGCTCCGAGGTAGTGCAGTCCATACGATCTCATGCGTTCGAAAACTAATCTAACCTAGGTTCGACACCCGAGAGCTCTCCCTCTCTTTTTATCTCACTCTCGTATCTCTGTCACTCTAACGCTGCGTTTCATGCGCATCATGCTTGGAAACGGAACGCACCCTATATCATACTATAAAATAGCTGCGCAATTAAAATTACGTATATGCAAAAATTTCAAGAATAGGGGCCCAGGAACAGATATCTATACTGTCTTGGTTTACATCGTGCATTTGATACGCGTATTAAATAGTAACTTTCTATTAGGTAATCTTAATATCGACGATATATATAAACAATGTTATATTAAGCTGGTATAATACTCATCAACAAAACTCATTGTATTGATTAAATGCATCGCCATTGATATGCATTGTCGATATTAAGATTATCTAATAGAAAGTTACTATTTAGTACGCGTATCAAGTGTATGATGTAAATCAAAGCCGCGTTCCGTTTCATGCATATGCACACGTTTATCTACAGTTCATGTTACGTATATTGTAGGAAATGCGCGCATAATGCGTGAAACGGAACGCAACCCAAGCCACTAAACTAGATTGCTAACAAGGATTTCGAACGTGTGTCACGTAAGGTTTCCGGTTGCATGTGAGAAAATGGCGGCAGTCCTGTGTATGATGTTGTGTGTGTAACGTATCACTTGTGTGAATACTTACACGTACAATGTGAATCAGCGTGGATATTAAATTACTGTCGTAAAACCAAAAATACCAGACAGCAAAGAAATGCAAAACAGTTGCACAACAGTTGAGCAATTCGTCAATGTAATTGGTCTAGATTCAGGAGTCTAACAGTAAGAACCAATAATCGTTGATTGCTTACTGAGCGCTTTTTTCGCTGAACGCGCCCATTGTCATCCAGGAGACGATGCAGAGTGAAATACGCACACTTGACATAATTTTTGAAAATATATGTGTTCAAACGCGAAAGTTATTATAAAAAATTCTAAAAAACTGTCCCAAAATGTGCTCTACATGCTAACATTATAGGAGATTTTTGGCGATCGTTTGATACACGTACCTGGTTGTTATTGGTCTAATTTACATTAAACATTTATATGTACTAAGGTTAATATATTAACCTTATTCAACAAAAATCATTAACCAATCAATAATCTAAATTAGTCAAACAATTAATAAATATATATATATATTGGGAAAAAAATATTTGAAAATTTGCCAAATTTATAAAAATGCATTATCGCTCATATTATTGTTTATAAAAACGATCTTTCAATTGTTTCAAACAGTGTGCTTTATTGAACGACACATACACACACTACACTACAGCAAAGTAAATCGAATTGATTCATAAACATGCATTACATGGAAAGACTTTTTGTCCTTCTATTACTAATTTTTTTTCTTGTTTGACTCACCGACTCACCGATCAGGGCAGCCACGTTCTGCTTTCGTTTCTGGAACAGAAAAATGTTTTGTCGATTAGATTCGTGCATTGATGTTGGTTTAAGTGAAGAAGTTTGCAATATTAAAACAAAAATAAGCGCGCGATATTTTTTATGCTGGGGGAATTTTTCGGAATGCATTCATACTTATAATATTCCACACTTTCTTTTTTCTCGACGTTTCAAATAAATCTCTTAATTAGAATAAATCAGCATTATTCAAATGGTGATGTTATTCAGGAAAAAAATTCTCCCCGCGTGTAATTATGATTTAACGCGATCTTTGACTCAATTCAAATTATCTCAATTTCGAGCAAGAGAATTATCAATATTATTGGATTTATAATTACAATTGCTAATTAAGGTAGCTAACTTTCGAGTTAACCCCGTTTGGCTCGAGCCGGATCCTCCGACGCAGCATCCCCCCAGAGTTGGCTGATCGTCTGTTTCATTTCTGTAACAGAAAGCACATTTAATTTAGTATTACACACGACAATGGTAATGTTAAGGAACTTGATTCCAAACGAAAGAATTTCATGTTTTATTGGATTTCTAATTACGAATTTAAATCAGTGAAACTCACCTTCGCGCCAACTCTGCCAGACCCGAGCCGGATCCTCCGGCGCGGCATCTCCTATCGCGTCCTCTACAGCCGCGTGACTGCGTCTTCTCTATGATCTCTGTGACAGAAATTTAATTTAATTTAGTATCAATCAGTAATTTAATAAATTAGTATCAAATAGTTATACGCGACAGCAACACGGTGAAAAGAAATTGTCGTAACGGCACGTTCGAGTTCCCTATGCATAATAAAAAATAATTAAACGATAGTCGAATAAAGAAATAATAATTCCCAATTAATTAATAGGCGATGATAATAATGTCTAATCGACAACCGAATAATAATGTCCGGTAGAATCAATTAATTACACACGACAGCAAGACGAAGTAAAGAAATCGTCGTAGCGACACGCTCGAGTTGCTTCTCAATACGTAATAAAAATAGTTAAATGACAACCATATAAAGAAATAATAATACTCGAATAGTAAATGGATGATGATGATATTTGATTGACAATGAAGAACTCGATCGCGACGTTTCTCTATTTAACAAGTAAGAAAGTAAATAAAACGTGGGAATTACCCGCTGCGATAAAGCCTACAACACCTGCTCGCGTGATAAGTATGCGTCTAAAATGCGTGTTAATTATTGCCTTAATTGTGGTGAAGTCAAAATGCGGTATTAAAAGTCGGCGCGAAATAATTTAGAAAATAACGCGGCAGCTTATCTCGGCGGCTGATAGCGTTATGGTGTGACGCGCGCCTGCCTGCGCGTCTCCCCCCCCCCCCCCCCCCCCCCCC